CACGCACGCACGCACACACACACACACATACATACATACAAAGGTCATACATTTTAAGGAAGCTTGATCGAGACAAAGAAGACCGAGATAGAGAAGATAAATTTAAGTCTATTAGGCTACGCTAAAAGAAAATGGGTTACACTAAAAAATGGGGTTTTTCAATATTTTAAAGGGGCCCAAGGCATCAAGGCGAGTTAAGGCAAGCTTAGGCGAGGTAAGGCGAGGAAAGGCGACGCCTAGGCGAGTGCCTAATCACCTTAAGGTTTTCTAGGCAAGATGAGTAGATGAGGCATCCCACTGACAGCGCCTTATTGGGTAGGTGACGCCTTACGAACTATGGATGGAATAAAGCAAAATGGCTCCTTTATTGTCTGTGCTTCTTTCAATAGTGAAGTAGCAGTTACTCAATGCAACTTTCTACTTCCATAGGGGTCAGGTTGTGCACATACGACCCCCCTCGAGTAATGTGATCTTTGCAAATCGCCACTTCAGCCAGGACTCTTGTAGGCAGCACGACATGCGGCCAAAATAGATGCATCAATCAGATATGAATTGATAAGTTTTGCCTATATTTTTAGGTCCATTGTCAATGTCTCATTGAAGCAAAAAGAATCATTTTTGACATTGTTTTAGCTTTAGGTAAATAATGGCCTAAACCAAAATGGTACATTAAACTTCTCTTGCTTCTCACACTTTATGAAGTTTTGGGCAGAAAAAGCATCAAATGTCTAACAGAAATAGAGTTTCTGTTTTTTTACAGGGGTAAGGTTGAGTGCAACTGACCCCCATAGCTCAATAGAGTTAGTATTGTCCTGGGTTTGTTATCGTTGTAGTTTTGCATATATTTGAATCCGAGCAAACAAACTGTTGGAGTCTATCCCACATCGGAACTTGTAGTGAAAATAAATCGATATATAAGCTCTTGAGTTGAACTAACTAATCGATTGAATTCAATCTTTTAATGTGGTTCAACCCAAGTGTCTTATTGCCCAATCCAGTTGTCCATACCCATCCTAAATTCTATCATGGTATCAAAGCCAGTTTTATCCCACCTCGTTTGTCAAGGTGTCCGTCTAGACGTTCATTCCTAGCGGCCCGTTTGTCTTTAGCCCAGTTGTCTGTATGGAGGTTGTACCCAACGACCTGTGGCCTGTTTAACACGATTGCTCGTCTGGAAGTCCATACCCAGCGGCTCGTGGTCCTTTAGGTGTTGGCGCTCATAAAAAAAAAGTCAAGGGAATGGGAGTTCATTTGCAAGTGGTCAACCGGTTAGATTCAAAATGGCCCGGTTGTCCACTTGAGGGGGAGTGTTGGAGTCTATCCCACGTCGGAACTTGTAGTGAAAATAAATCGATATATAAGCTCTTGAGTTGAACTAACTAATCGATTGAATTCAATCTTTTAATGTGGTTCAACCCAAGTGTCTTATTGCCCAATCCAGTTGTCCATACTCATCCTAAATTCTATCACAAACAAAATTATCTCAACTCCAAGTTCAAATGCATGAGTCAAAGAAGTGCCTATAAACTACAACTAAACTGAAATGAATGAAATGCAAAATGTAACATCAATGATGTGATTTTTTTAGCATTGCTGGATCAAACTCCATATTCAAAAAACACAAAAAACACCAGAGTCATTTTGCTCATAGAAATTAGGGAGAAATTGATAAATAACCAAATTTTCTTACTGATTCATTTTAACAGATTTGGGATTTGATCACATAATCCAAATAAGGAGAGACACTAAAAGCAGGGAATTAGAGAACAATAAAATCCTTACCTGTGTTCTCAATCTGATGGCTTCTTGTTCAAGGCTATCATGGTTCTTCTTAGGATCATCGGATACAATCTTCTGTGAAGTGAGTCCACCTAGAGCTGGGGTTGGTGTAGTAGAGCGAGGTGGAGTAGGCCGTCTTGATACTGGTGATGTTGCTCTAGAAACCATTCTTGATCCAGGAACTGAGGCTGAAACAAATTTCTTAGATGAACCAAATGCTGGATTGAAAGGTTTGGAGAAACTACCGGATGGAATAGGTGACACACGGCTGCTATTAAGTTCCAACTTTTTGTTTTGTTTTGAAGTATGACCTTCCCCTTGGATAAAGGATTCCATTGAAGCAAACGTAGCAAAATGAGGGCGGGATCTTGTATTCATCTTCTCCTCTTTTTCCGTAACATGATTCAGTCCCTGAATCATACTTCCTCTTCTGCTCACTGAAGACTGAGATGAAGCATCAGTTTCATCTGCTTTTTTTAATTTTAAAAAGCAATTATCGCAAACGCGATATGCTTTATTAGGATTTGGTGCCATTGAAGCCCTCATGGATTTCTTACTGGTGCATGCATGACAAAAGACAAGTCCGCAATTATAACAGTTATGCCGTTTCCTTTTGAAACTAAAGGGAAGTCGGCACTCAGAACACATTGATTGATCGGCTCCTGAAACCCATTTGTGAAGGCAGATAGCTGCGGTAAAATTGGTTCCACAAGCAATGCTTTTTACTTGCTTGTCCTTTAAAGCTTCAACTAAAGTTGGCAGGTTTCTGTCATCCATATCTCCATGACCCAGTCTTCCATTTGCTCCCTTTCCCCATGTGTAAACTTCAGTTCTAGAGGTCAATACAGCAACATGGTAAGCACCACACGCTATTTCCTCTACAAAACTCCTCGCAAGTTTTGCTTCAACTCGACATGGAAGTTTTCCATCAGCTTGAGGATTTCCTAACTGACCATAAACAGCACTTCCCATGGTGTATACATGTCCTGAAGTGGTAAGAGAAACAGTCAAGCTGTGTCCACAAGCGACCTGACAAAAGTTGGGTTCAACCAGAGCAGCAACACAGGTAGGTACAAGTCTTGATTCCTTGTCACCATGTCCTAGTCGACCTTTATCACCATCTCCCCATGTAAAGAGTTTTCCAGAAGAACAATTGCTGGTGCTTGAGTTTCCAACCATGACTTCTACAACAGCAGCAGTATGCCACACACCGCAAGCTGCTCGTACAGTCCGAAGTCCCTTGAGAGATTCAACTTCCCGAGGTTTAGAAATGCTTTTTCTATCTCCGTGGCCAAGAACACCGAAGGTTCCGTCACCAAAAGTAAACAATTGCCCAGCAGAGGTCACAACAGCAGTGTGCCATGGCCCACAGGAGATATATGAGACATGGATGCCTTCCAAAGGCCCATTTACTCTCTTTGGAACCCAATGGCTCACTTCATTCCCATGCCCAAGAAGACCGAAATGGCCTTCGCCCCAAGTATACAGATCCCCAGAAAGTGTTACAGCACATGTATGATGTTCTCCGCAAGCAACAAGCTCTATGTTTGTAACGCTCAGGGAATCTATAAGCTTTGGATGCAAAACATCTGAATCAACCCCATGCCCAAGCCTGCCTCCTGATTCCTCACCCCATGAGAATATTTCTCCATGCTTTGTGACTAGAGCCGCATGGCAACCACCGCAAGCTATATTCTGCACATCCAATACAACTGCGGATTCTAAAGCTTTAGGCAATAAAGAATCCATTTGAACATCCAAAGAGTGTCCCGCTCGATGGGGTCCACCCCCAATTGCACCATCCCCAGTGCCTTGACCCCATACAAAAACATCACCCAAGGCATCCCCATCATCATGCCCAGAACCTTGACTTGTTGAGCTAACAGCACTTGAAAGGCTTACTCTAAAACCATCTACCACTGGTGCCTTCATGTGACCATGTATTCCATCTGAGCCTCCCGAAGATAAGGAATGAAGAGAACCAGTAGCAGAATCTGGAGGGTAAAACCCCTTGGGAGGCAACAATATCCCTTCAGAAAAAGCTTTGTCCAAACCAATTTTTGGTGGACTTTCATATTGACTGTGAAGTCTTAGCTGATCACTGAGGTCCTGGTACAGAGGCAAAAACGAATTCAACATATTGCAGCACGCTTTTGTTTAATGCATATTAAATGTAGACATGGTAAATATTAAATCTATGAAAACTTCACATCCTGTAAATGCGTGACAAGAGAGGCATAAAATACCTTTTGTGAGCTATTACTACTACCAAATGGAGAATGCAACGGAGAACTTCTTTGTGTGTAGGTCCTGGGACTAGTAGCACCTGATGATATCCCATCGCTTCTTGATTCTCCTCTCCATTTTTGCTGATGACCACGTGAAATCAGTGCCTTCAAGCCACTAAACCAGACTTCTGCTTCATCTTTGTCTTTACATATCTAGTATAGATACATTGAAGAGGACGAACACAGAAGTTACAGTCAACAGATTAACCTGAAAAAGAAGGCAATGGCTAAGCTAGACGGAAGTTCTTACCAAGTCCAAAGACCTGTCATTGTATATCAGGGAAAATGATTGGTACTCCTTCTCAGGCCTTGGGTATCTTTGAAAAATTGGCTAGCAATGAAAATTATTAAAGCTTAGATAAATCAAGTAACAAAATCTAAGCTTACCTAAAACACATTTTTCTGTGAATTTAATAACATAAATTAATAATTTGTAGAGCGCTATCAACCAGTATTAAAATGTTATTTGCATGCTTATGTAACAAATTTAAGCAGGTAATCGTTCACTTCTTTAAAAGAAGCATACAGTTATTTGTGATGAGGATATGACTATATGAGATAATATTAAGCTTGTTATAGCATGGAATGATAGACATAAATAAGAGCATCCCTCAAAGCATGAAACTTACAGTACGCTGTCCAGATACTATTCTAGAGACATGACTCAGCTTCAGACATTTCTCCTCTTTACCCGAAATCCATATTAGAGCCGATTCATCCTGAAAACAGTACAGAATTGGATTTATGACTTTGTTAATGAACTCTAGGTACAAATATTTGGAATGGAGAAAACAAGTGAAACAACTTGGATATAACTCATAACTGCAAACCCATAACAAATCAAAGGAGGCCAAAAATTGGAGACACAGATAGACAAATAGAGGTTACATGCATATATAGGTTTTGCCAATGACCTATTGACTGAGAGGAAGGGGTATCGTCCACTTAATCAAGGCATCTTGTTTGAGCCTTGCAAATGGAACACCAAGCATTGGGCTTTGGGAGAGACCCGCTCCCCTCCCAAGTCCCAACAAAAAAACCACCACACAAAAACCTTTTGGACAGTAGATTGGCAAATCAGTTCAACCCCAAATGTAACAATCAAATAGCTGAGACTGTGGTAACTGGTAACCCCTCGGAAAAGAACGAAAAATTTTAACAAAAAAAATCCCAACTTGAGAATGGTCAATAACATTCATCAAATCATATGGCTGAAATTTTTATCATAAACAGCATGCCAAGTGCCAATTTCTCAAGTAAAGCTTCATGCAAATTTCATTTCAATATGAAAGATGAAGATAAACAGCTTAACAGTCTAATATGATTACTTGCTTGTGGAAGCTTTTGAGTATAGACTACAACAGCATACAACCTTATGTCCTTATTTTTGTTAAGCATATAGAATGGGACTATAGATTTCTGATTTCTCCTACATTAGCTGGTAGATTAATATGCATCCATTTTTGGGATCTGCTAGCAGATGCTAAAGAAAGGTAAGGGAGCATAATGTTTGGTAGGATATTATATGAATTATCATATCTCATTAAATAAGGCTGAAAATTTATTTAGCAAAAGAATAGACATACATGTATGATGTACTCTTGTAAGAAGCAAAACAGCTTTTCAGTCCCCATTTCAAGAAGGGATATGACATTAAAACATGCATAATGTTGACACTTCACCTAAGGAAAACTAAAGAGTACACAAAAGAATGAGTGCAAGATAGCGCAATGAGACTTACATTTGCCAAACGGAAAGGACAAAACTTGGGTTTTCCTCTTCTTCCATACTTAAGCAAGTGTGCCCCTTTCTTAAGAGCAGTTACAGCCTGTTGGAAAGATCAGTGATAACCTAATAAAATAACCTTAAAAATATTTACCCCACAAAGATAACCCACAAGCAATATTCTCAATAGAAAGGTAAAGACTTATAAAATGCATTTCACGATTGAAAAACAATAACACTGATGCAAACAATATCACTTCTTGCAAGCCTCAGGAACATTAGAATCCATTAGCTTAGTGTCTTACATCTTTAAACAGAATTGTGTAAAAAAAATAATAGTAGAGGTAGTTTCTTATATTCTCCTTCCAGAAAAGAGATTACATGATAATGATGGATTAATTTTGCAATGTAAGAGAAGAGTGACTCCGATGAATGCTACCAACTTCCAAAAAATGTTTTATGCACTGCTACCCTAGTTTACCATCTGTTTGTATTTCAAGTACTCATTAACTATGCAATCCTGAATCTTCTAGAATCCAAAAAATCATTTACAACAATTGGCTAGTAATCCAGTTTGGGAAGGCCCAATCAAAAAAGAGGAAGAATTATAAAGGATGAAAAATATGGAATGTCGATTTCTAGCCTGTAACTAAGGTTTCTGAATATGTAAACTACAGAGTAGCTACTTCAGCTTGGATGTTCAACGTGTAATACTGAAATCATATGTTACATCTCTAGTTCAAAATTAACCGTGCAAGGCGTGCATATATACAGGGACTACAGTACATTTTAGATCCAAGTTTCAACTGACTCCCTACGGTGTATCATTAAATCGAATACACTTTGGATATACAATTAATATGTTACTTCCCGGAAAGGATACTCTTACATAAAAGCCTATAATTGGTAAATGCTGCCAAGGGAAACACAAAATAAAAATTCTAAAAAGATCGGCTGTCACATGCGATTTTATGTACGCTTTTCTTAAGAGTATCATTCCTCATTAGTTCCTGAAAGAAACAGATAGCCTGCAATGTTGAAGAGAAGAATTACCTCAACAAGGTACTAAAGCCTCAATATTATACAAGTAGAAGACTTGAGCTACTAATAGTTTACAAGTAGAAGACTCGAGCCTTGTACAACAGTCGACAGTACTTATCCTCTCAGTGATTTATACTCCTCTGTGCAAAATAGACCATTATACAAGTATTTTAAGTGACTTAGGACTTGTTATAGATGAAGAAGATGATTACTACGACGACGACTACAACAATGCATCACCAACTTCAGAAATGGTAACAAAGCACCAATTTGCACAAGATAGAAACAGAAACTACTACTGCAAGTCTATTAGTAGAGCTGTTGAGGTATTGTCCGTCATAAATATGGAAACAACAAAGAAGATCAGGAATAAGAAATAAATTACCTGCTCAAGGTCCCTTTCAACAGGTCCACCAGTTCTGCTAACATCCGAATTCATGCTATCCGAGATGTGAACGCGATAATGCAAGCCCTAACTCATACTTGAAATCGCCTCACATCCCCAATTCATTACCGAGCCCATACCGCACTCCCATCAAATGCAGCAATCTCCAGTGGATCAATCAATCGATCAATTAACAGAATATACTGGCTCGGCGGGATTAGCAGAGCTCAATCACTGCCCCAATTGGCAGCAGGGCGACTACGCACTGTAGTTACGGCGCAATCAGGGAGTGAAACGGAGACTGTATCTTCCGGCGAGTACAAGGAGGAAGCTATGGATCGAGCAAGGTATCACCGGAGTGGACTTCACTTCACTGATTGACGGGTGAACACGAACTGCCCTGCTGATTCGCATACAAATCCATATCCATATACATTTATTGAGAGAAGAAGGGAAAGTGGATAAACTGGGGAAGAGCAGAATCTAATCGTGAAAATGAAGATATATTCAAAGGGGAAACGAATTGAATGCTTTCCTCTGATTGTATTCAGTCGCAGCTTGCGGAAGCTGCGAGGGGGAGAAGCGTTTGGTTTAACGCAAAAAAGTGCTCTATCATAAATTTGGATGCCCTTTAATGTCGTCTCATTTACTACTCCCTCCATCCTAAAATTTTTTACCAGAGCACTATTCCAACTTTACGAGAATTTGTATTTATTTGTGTTTTTTTATGACCTATATTGATGGTGTAAATTACCACGCAAATATTAAGTGTGAGTAATCGGAAGGGTTGTAGGTGGAATCATCTGTAACCCGATTTGTTATTAATGATAATAGGAGTTATTACAAATACAAGCCGTGTAGGTTAATTAAAACATGCCTCACAAATGAGGCTTTTAAGGTATTTATAATAATCATAAGCACGTCAAGCACGTCTCTGATTATCCAACCGGTCAGGCGGCTGACCGGCCCACCAGGTGCACTTTGAAAGTAAATCTTCGGGTATTGGCATCTGGTCTCCTCATCCAACCGGTCAAATAACCCGGGCTGAAAAAGACGCGTGCTGTTCGGTGAACCAACCGGGTGGTATCCTTGGGTTATTACCCATCATATATGATAAAATAAAATATTCTTGCCACAACTTGTTTTGTTGAACTTTTGATGTAGTTTTAAATATGTATGTTTTATTTTTTATTTCTATACCAATATTTAAATAAAATAGATTGAAAAAATTTGGGATGTTTCTACGTTTTGCGCAACGGGAAGAAAGACATAGGACAGATGGAGTAGTAATTAAAAATAAAAATAAAAGAAATACCGTACTAAAGAAAATACGAAGTACATTAGAGACAAGAAATTCATAGCTTTGGACTCGGTGTGACTTTAGGGCATTGGAAATTGGTGTAAGGCCGGGGCGTCAACCGGCTTTTAACGTTGGGCGTTAAACACAGCTCTCATGGCGGCGTTATGGAGCGTCACTTCCCTTGCGTCAAACCTTTGACGCTGCGTTGCTTCTTTCCGTTGGCGTAGCCCCCCCCCCCCCCCGGGCTAAAATAGTCATTAAAACAAAAAAGATCTTATAAAAAAATCTTCTTATAATTTCTTAAAAATCTTCTCTCGCATCTCTCTATCATCTCTCTATCTCCCTATAATTCTTTCAAATATTATTCTATTTATTAAATTATTTCTACAAAATATTTTAAAAATAGGATCATCTTCATCTGATGATGAAAAGTGTGCTCTCATTTTTTACTGTTTCGCCACGGCTTGTTATCAATGGTGGCAACAAGGCGAACAGGAAGAAGCAGAATCCTCCCGATGCCCGACCCGACGTCAACGTTTTAACCGGGATTGGGCACCTACGCACGCTTCACTTCTCAATGACTACTTCAATACTCCGTGTGTTTATACACTGGAGGATTTTAGTAATCGTTTTCAGATGAGTCGTCCTTTCTTTTTACACATACTCACCGATATTGAACGTGAGGTGTCTTGGTTTACCCAACACTTTGATGCGAGAGGCCGACGTTGGTTTGGTAGTGTCCACAAGTGCAGTGCCGCGCTTCGTTAGATGGCGTACGGAATGACATCTGATATGTTCAACTAATACTTGAAGATGTTGGCTTGGAGCATCGTCCGATCACGTGTTTATAAATTTTCTAAAGCTATTATTTGAAATTATCATAAAAGATATTTACGTAAAGAGATCACCCTACGTAGCACTCTAACTCATCTAATACTACGCAAAATTGGTGTATAATTAAAAAATAGGAATTATATATTAAAAAAACTACATAAAAAACTCTATAAAAAGTGATGATAATGTGACTTACATATAAAACTACCAATGTTATAAATTATTATTTGACTTTCATATTATGCAAACAACTTGTGGTTGATTTTATGATAATAGGGTTTTACCATGAAAGAGATTCTTATGAAATGTGTTACTCAATATGGCGGCTATAAATATATGGGCAGTACAGATTGATCATGTTATGCAAACACTTTTTTGCAGTGAATTTGTCTTCTATATATAATGTGGCACACAAGAGTGAAAATATGGCAGTGTATAAAAGTTCGCGACCTAAACAAATTTGTATGTACTTCATTAACTTCCATTAATAATATGGCATTGAAATTAGACATACATATAAAACTGCCAATGTTATGAATTATGAATTGAGTTTCATATTGTGCAAAAGCCATGTGCTTCATTCTATGACTATTGGGTTTGAACATTCAAGAGTTCGTTATGGAAACGTGTTACTAATAGGGGCTGATTTTTTTGACAGTGTGGAATAATCAATTCTAGCTACACTTTTTGAAAATGTCCTATGACCATGTTTGCCTAGTGTGTTTTGGTCAAATGAGATTTATATCTAAAAATCCCATTGTAATAAATTATTCATTGAGTTCCATTGGAAGTGGATACAAAAAAATCAGCAAAATGACTAGTGCTTGAATAACTTTAATAAACAAAGTATGAAGTGTAAGCTCAAATATTTTTGGCAGTGTGGAATGCTTGTGATCTAGGTAAACTTTTTTGCAGTGTGTTATGTCCTATGTTTTGGCCAATGTGCTATGTTGCACAATTTAACATATTAACGTTGCAGTGTATGCTGCTTATAAAGTTTTAAAATTTACAACATAATACCTTCATTATCCATTTCTTTTCAGTACCACATAAATGAGATTCAACATATGTCTAATACTAACATCTTCTAACATTATACAAAATCAAGAAAGACCAAAAAAGCCAAACCCATGTTTGGCCAGTGTGTTTTGGTGTAATAGATTATTCATGAAATCAGTCATACATTTTTGGGCAGTGTAGAATTCATAAATGAAAACATTCATATACATTTTTGGCAGTGTAGAATTCATACATGAAAATAGTGTGAAATTCATACATAAAAAGAACTATACATTTTTTGGGTAGTGTGGAATTCATACATGAAAATAGTCATACAATTACACGTGAATAACCACACTGCCCAAAACAATCATATTTTTTGGCAGTGAATAATGAACATTTGATGTTTAATTAAAGAACAAAATCGGAATCACATGTACGAAACATAGAGCACTGCTATTAACGAGTAGATTATTTGAATGTTCTTAGGGTGCTATTTTGATTTTTCTCCCAAAAAAATCACCCACCAATTATGATCCAAGACGAATCAATTATAGTGGCCCACCACTAGGGATGTAAACAAATCAAATATTTTAAATTCGATTTGCGATTCGTATTTGAATATGATGATTCGAATTCACGTTATTCAAATACAAATACAAATTCAAATATTATTTTTGATTCAAATATTAATCAAATACAAATACAAATAGGGATATATTCGATTCGTATGATATTCGAATATTCAAATATATGTAAATATACACAGACCATGTTTTCAACATCAAAAGGCAAGCAAAGTAATATAGTATAAAGTGTATTTAAAATACTAAGAATTCAATACATTAACGTAACACGAAAATCTAAAGCATATGATTTTTAATAGTTATATTTTATAAAATATAATGTGTGTAAGATGCAAATGTATTATTGTTTTTATATACGGAATATAGTATAGTATAAAGAGTATCGTAAGTTAAATTAAAAATTGATGTTGGTCCATCATATAAATTACATAGTATGATTATTCAAATATTCGTTTATGATTCGATAACTATTCGAATATTAATCAAATACTTATTCGAATCTTATTTTGAATTCGTCTCATATTCAGATTTGGATTCGTATTCGAAAAAAATAAATAAATACAAATTCAAATATATCGGTATTCACCCCTACCCACCACTATTTCCATTTTCCAAAAGAAAAATCATGCCACAATGCCCCTCCCACACATCACGGTCCAAACCTTTTCTTATCTTCGAAATTGTGCCCCAACCTTTTCTTAGAAATTGAAAAGGATTATGCTATGTGTACCCCAAGGTTTGTACCCCGCAGTTTTGCACCAACACTTTGTGTTGGTGTAAAACTAATTTTTGTTAAACGCACCAACACTTGTGTCGGTGTAAACCATCGAAATGTTTGTGCAAGACTGTGGTGTACAAATGGGGTATATTTTTTGGTGTAAGTGTAGCATGGTCCAATTGAAAATCAGGCACTGTAAGACAATGACGGTGGCTGGAATTATGCGCGGCGGCCTAGGAAGATATCAGCGGCAGTGGCTCTCACAATCTGGGCGGCAGCAGCTACTTACGATCCGAACGGCAGAAACTGCTCGCGGCTGAGCAGCTGCAGCGGCGCTCTCCTCGAACCAGCGGCGTCGGCGGCAGATCTCCTCTGCCGCGGCTAGCGGCGGCTGGACGGACCAGATCTGCATCTCTCCGCGCGGCTGACGGCGGTTCTGCGTTGCGCGACTGATGGCGGCAGCGGCGAGTCTCCTACTGCCGCTGCTCCTGCCCGATCTGATCGTCGTCCCTCCAACAAACACTTATCAACCTGGCGGGGGCGATTCTGGGCTCGGGACTCACTCCCTGCTGCGGCTCTCCCGATTCAAGCGCGGCAGCACTCTGTGGATTGACGGGGATGGTGGTGCTCCGGTGGCAGCGGCCCAATTACCGGCTCCTGTGCTACTGCACCCGGTTCTTAGGTGACACTCCTCTCTCTCTCATTAGATTCTGCTGACCGGATTTCCTTAAAGAGCCAAAGCTCCTATACTACTGGTTGGGAATAAATGCACGCGGAAACAACACACAATCAAGAATCAATTCAACCGTAGAAAAAAATAAACGGTACAAGATTTAAAGTGATTCAGTCGCCAACTGCAACCTACATCCACACGGAGCAACTAAGAGAATTTTATTTCATTTTTGTTGCACTACAATTACAATCACATTAATATTTCTTAAATAGAGATTAATTAGGAGAGCACAATGATTAAGAAGGTTTGAAGCTTCCAGGTAGTTTCCTGCCAATTTCTTGTTGGCTTCCTGACTTCACACTCAACATTTGTGCCGTCGCCCAGAAAGCTTTCATGAAATTTATGCTTCAATTCATAAAAAAATCAGAAAATAAATCAGAGGATGAAAAAAAGGGTGCAATATACTCTGTATTAGCATTACGTCGTCCTGCCTTGTTCCCTGGTCCTCTCTCCTTCAAAAAAAAGTCATTCAAAACATTTTGTTCCTCTTGCAGGTGCAATGTCTTCATCATCTCCCTTCAAAGGAAAGAAGGGAGCAGGTAAAGAACCCATGGCTGGCAGACCGGTGAGACGGGCACCCGATCTCCCAATCCATGCAAATGTGAATTCCGAATGGAGCAGAGACCTTTTCTTGAGTGTCTTAAGGATGCATGTTGCAGGTACATATTATCTCTAAATTAACAGAATTAAACTTAGGTTATCTTTGTAAAATAGAATTCATTTTAAATTTCATGATTTTAAATTCTAAATGTTGTTTGGAGAGCATGGAATTTCAATCTTAAAATTTAAATTTTGATTTCAGCCAAGACAAGGAATAAGTATGAAATTCTTTGTAACCTTTATAAAATAAAGGAAATTTAAGCTTTTTGTAAATAAAAAGGTGAAGATTTGTAATTGACTTTGTTTTCAATTAAAAGAATTTGATTAAGTTTAAATCTAATTTTTTCATTCCCAGCTAATTAATTTGGATCAAAATTTAAATTGTTCGCTTCCAAACATACCCTTTTGTAAATAACTCCTTAAAATTGTTGAACAATTTCTTTGTTACATTTCATGATGTTGTATCATTTGATTTGTGTGCTTAAAATTTGAAAGTATTTCGAGTTTCACTCATTGACTAGCGGGAAGAATGCTTCTTCTTTTATGCTAACCCTTAGCCAAAAAAAATTTTCCTTTCATTTTTTCTCTTGCACTAAAATACTACCATTTTTTTTTATTAAAAATCACTTTTATGCATATTTTTCTTACCCTATCAATCACATCATACTTTTTCTCTAATGATCTATCCATCACACCTTACTTTTACTATCACATCAAAAAAAATTGGTATGAACTACGGAGTAAATTTTAAGACTTCCTTAATTTTGCTTTTGGTCAAAATGAGAAGAGTTTTTCCAAAAAGAGGGAGTACTGAATATACTCCCTCCGTCGCGAATCTTGTTCGTCCATCCTAATTTTTCAAGTTAAATTTAACAAACCTTAATTGTTATGGAAGAGTTAGACTTTCCTACCAATAATACGTAAAAAAAATCGGAAGATAAAAATTGAATATTGATTTTGTTCTTTTTTATTACAATATTGGTCATATTCGTACACGTATGTATTTAAACTTGAGTGGAGTGGTGGATGGCACATTCTTTGAATTATATTTAAACATTCTGTTCAGGGGCATCAATTATTTCTATTAGAAAAACTCTTAAAAGCAATAATTTAGGCAAAGAATCTAAAAAGAGGGATAGTAATATCACAAATTACTATATTTAACATTTTATTAAAACTATAAGACAGCTTTCAAAAAAATCATATTCTCCGTTCTCCAATATGTTCGGATATTCTCCAAAATTTTTTAACAAGTTCCAAAATACTACGTAATAGATTTCTTATTTTTGCTCGCTAACCAAAATTATATGGATACATTTATTTTTGGTTTTCTTGTGTTTTTTTTTTGTTTCAAAATTCTATTTAAATTAATTGTTACAAATTTTTTAAATAATATTTACATGGGTTTGTATATTTTAAACTTAAGTTATATTATTAGTTTAAAGTAATTATTTATGGGGAAATACCTATAAAATATATGTAAATATTTGATGTGTTTGTGCTAAAGGGTAATACATTAAAAAGAGAAAAACCATTAATAAAAATAATGCTTCTTTATTATATAACACATGCCTTATTTACACACTAATACACACGCCTTTAAATGCACACATTTTTAGTTACTTTATCATAGAAAATGTATTTTTTAACATATTCGTGTCATCTAGAATATGACAAATCATAATTAGTTTCTATTTTATAAGATGTAATAATTCAATCACATTATCAATATACTTATATTTTATAGAAGTTGATCTTGAAAGTTTTTGTTAGTCACAAAAATATAAATTTTAATTCTGACTCAATTGCATAAAATTTCATTAAGTGTAAAAGTTCTTCCATAATACTCATTTTGTCCAGATTTAATCTTTTAATTTGATTTTATTGGTCAACTTTTAAAAATATTGACATGGATATATGAGAAATAGTTTTTTATTTCTTTATAAATATAATATCAATATTTTTTTGAAATGTTGTTTGAAAATATGAATGTTTATATGATATGATAAGTTTAAATATTTATACTAATGGTCAAAATACGGGATTAGAGATCATTAAAAGTTAATTGAAAAATTAAATCTACTCATACAATGAAAAGTTCGAAATTTGTCTTTTTTTTCAAGACAGGTAGCGATCAAACTCATTTTTCTTTAGCATAATAGCCGTAACCTAAGTATAAAATTAATAAAATTCATTTCGAGAAGTATATGCATAACTAATTATTCCATAAAAATGAATTACTCTTAATCACTTTATTTAATGTATGTAAACATATGATTCTAAATCAAAATATAGGAAGTGTCTTTTACCCCATATATGTATTTATGGTACAAAGATTGGTATGTTCAAATAATTCTTAAAACGTTACACGCACACACTACCTCTGCCCCTTACTATTTGTCCAATTTTGAATTTTTTGGTCAACTATATTCATGCTTTGACCTATAATTAAATAAAAAATATATTTTATATTATTTAGATAAAATAATATTTTAAAAATATTTTATATAATAAATATAATAAAACTATATTTTGTATCTATATCTAATATCATTTTTATGTAGTTTGAGGTTAAAGTTTACCAATTTTAGTCGGAAAAAGTCTACCAATTCTTATACACCAAATTCTTAAATTAGTTCGTTTGAGGCACCTGTGGTGTCTCGTTTGTAAAAATGACCGTTCCTACCCTCTAAACCTCACTTCCAAGGTAGGGTGGGGGCGAGAGGGAGGCTGGGGTGGGAGGTAGGGTGGGGCTAGGGTGGGTGATGTAGGTGGAGTGTTAGGGAGGTAGGAATCGTCATTTTTATAAATGGGGCTCCGTATTTGCCCTAAAAGAACTGGTGTCATTTTAGACTTACTCATATACATATATAGCTAATTAAAATATTAAAAATTAGACTATAATATATGAATAAAAAATACATTTAATATAATACTTCTAATAGTCTTTTACTGATATATTTTAAGAAATTTTATTGGTCAAACATATTACTCAAAAAATGAACCAGAGTGTTAAAAAAGAATAGAGTTACTAATTTTTAAGATTGACCGTATGAGACTCACAAAAAAACTTTTAATTAGGTAAATATGTTAAATCATTAAAAAAATAAAATAATATCAAATCACTACGATGTATATTGACAAAAATTGTTCAACTCTTTAAAATACTATGTGGCGGATGAGTTCTTAAAAAATACCAAATAAACTCGTCACATGTCATAATTATGTGAGTCAGAGTCATAAATCTTATAGTATAGGAACAAGGATTAGCCAATATATAACTACACAATAATAACCTCTCAATTTTCAATACTTTACATGTACTACGTAATGATTTTATACGTGCTACATGGGAATGAATGTTTGCTCTAATAGGATATTGGCAAGTCATTAAAGCCATCAAAGGTGGTAGATAATTTGTAAAAAAATGCCAAGTAGACCTGCCACATGTCAAATTTTTTAGAATTCAGTTATCCTATATTTTATATCAAGATAAAGATTCAATCCCATCAAAAACTGGTGTTCTGTTTTACAAATTTTTTTAAGCATGGTTGGAAAATCACATGTGTAATTTTTGCACACACAGACGGGAGGCTGCTCAAGATTCATCAAATTATCTCATGATTTCATCTTCTCATGATATTTCATTATGATAAGATTCTTCTACTTACATTCTGATAATCCTCATTTTAATTGTTGAACCTTAGGTCCATTAATAATAGAAAAACAAGCCTTCAAGCCATTCCATGGGTTTGAGGCCTTCTCCACGAATGAGATGTTTGATCTCAAGGTTTGATCAAAAGTGTTTCAGATCCACGAGATCAAGAGCAAGCCACCAATCATCTAGGTCATCAGATTCAGAATCTAGAATTCTAGGTCAGATCATTAGATTCAGAATCTGGAATTCCAATTGAACCATCAATTAATCCAAATGTCTTGCATGCTTGAATAGCAAGACAACAATTTAGACCATCAATACCACATACAATAACAGCTATGACATTTGTTGGCTTAAATCAAGACTATGCCGCAGCTATATTGGCCTCCCATTTTTGCATGTATCCTCTAAGTCACCGCATATATTCCAAAATCTTTTCATCAACCTAACAAATAATTCCAATTTTGGAAGTTAACCTCTCTCATGAAATTCGAAAACACAAGTCACATATCCACCTCATTACCATTCACAATAGATTACAACCACCCTCTTCTCTAATTACACTTCTTTTTCATCATCATCATCATCATGTTCTTCTTCTGATTCTTAATCTTGCCTTTCATTATCACCAAATCTCATAATCGCCATCCCACCAAATCCAATCGTAACTACACTTCTATTTCTCTTCTGTACTATCAGTGAAACCCAAAGCAAAACCAAACAAAAACAAAACAAAGAGAAAAAATAAAGGAAGAGGAAGAAATACCCTCTAATAACCCACCCTCCTAGAAAATAATAAACGATTCCAACATTTGAGGAAAGATTGCACCTTTGTATCCTATCCAAGAAATTCAGAGATAAAAAGTAGAGGATTGCCTTCTTTTTCTTCGGCGATAAAAAAGAAAATCTTCAATCAAACAAGGAGCTCTGATAGCCTTCTTTTTTCTTTCATGACTTGCTACCAGCGCACGTCACACTTCCCCCTCTTCTCAAAGTCTGAATGCATTCAACTTGATATACTAGCGCACGTCACACTTCCCCCTCTTCTCAAAGTCTGAGCGCACGTCACCCGGAGGGAAGTTTGGCTCGCTAAAGTGGGTGAGTAAGGGTAAAGAGTTTAGCCCAAGAAATCTGGGCCGGGCAGGCACACCCATGTAAATGGGCTAATAATTTGTATCAAGCGTGACCGAGATCCTTATTTGTACAAGTCTAGTTTCAAATTCCTAGTTTGAACTTCATTTTGCTTCTACCAATCTTGGCTTGAGGATATGTTAGCAAATAATAATAATAGTATTAATTATGGTAGTATTTGTTTATTAGTTAGCTTATACAATTGAGCTTATTCCTACTTGTGTTAGGAATGTTTCTTATATATATATACTCTACTGTATCATCCATTATTTTTTGAGTAAAATGTATTATTCTACTATTCCATGTTATATTTTCAAAATATATAGATTTTTTACTTTAATATTTAAAGTTTAATAGATTAAATCAATTTTAACTTTGACCAATCATTCTAAACCAAAATTTGAAGTTTATTTGTTAGGTAAAAAGGTACTCCCTCCGTCCTAATTCTTTCTTCCCAGTTTGACTTTTCCCTATTTTTAATTTTTGGCTTTGACTTCAAATTTTACCCTCATTAAAAAAGATTTTTTGAAATTTTTTTTTGCAATCATTCAAAATATAGAGTTAGAAGATAATTGGTGTAAATACATGAGGGTATTAATGTCATTTGTCATCTTTTTTTTTCTAATGGGAAGGTAGTTTTAGGACGGAGAAAAAGGGGAAGTGGGAAGAAAGTTTTAGGACGGAGGGAGTAGTATTTAAGATTTAATCTGAATCTTCTCAGAGAAATATTTGGTTTTGCCACACTCCTCAAATACCTGTAATTACATATAGAGTTTAGATCATAACATATTGGATGTATGGTGTTTATTGTATATCTAGTTTATACACCCATATAGGTTAATGTGCAAATTTATTTCTTTGTATATACATAGAACATGTTCATTATGAAGTTTATATATGAATATATGCACATCCAGTAATTGTATAGCCCTCGTATCATTCTTGCTTGTGTCCACATTTGTGCTTTATATTGATTGTGCTTGAGCCATAGTCTAAAAACAATCTCACTCTCTTTTCGTATAAGGATGAGGTTTGTGTATGACAATTAATACCTTCCTCAGACCCTACATTTTGGGGTATTTTGCCACGTTTGTTATCTTTGTTTAATACTCTTTCTTTGCAAAATGAACTCTTCATTTAGTTAATAATAACACTTGCAATATGTTACTCCCTCCGTCCCACAAAAAAGTTCCCATTTTGACCATAAATTGGTCAAACAATTACACACTTTGACCATAAATTAAATATAATCTATATAAAGAAATTCTAAAAAAATTGAGATATCAAAACTAGATCTTAAAATGAATCCAATTATATTGAATTTATTTTATAATTCAATATACTTTTCTCACAATTTGTAGTCAAAGTGTATAAATATTTGACTAAATACTATTCAAAATGAGAACTTTTCTGTGGGACGGAGGGAGTAAATTATAAAAATGAAATTTTATAATTAGTGTTAATGAATTTTTGAATTGTTTTTTTTCCTTCACATACCCAAAACATGAACTTTATTAAATCAATGCATGCACACTTGGGTAGACCAAGTATGAAACCCATAGGATCCCAGGACCCATGGCCCTTTATGTAATTTTTTATAATCTTTGCATCCTATAGAGATTTTTTTGTTTGTGTTTACACAACAAAAGAAATGTTTTGAAACGTAAAGGTGTGTTAGTAGAATCTATTTAAAAGAAAAAAGTTTTGAACATCACAGATTTTTTAAATTTAAAAGAAAAGTATATGTGGATTTTTTTGGAACATCAAAAGAAAATATGTTCTTAATGGGGGAGAGGGTTGAGGGTGTGTGTCTCTGTGTGCTATGAGGAAATCTATCCTTACATCATATTCAAAACCAACCATATTTTTTGCTTATATTGTTTTCACTCAAAACTGATTGTAGGATTAAAAGTTCGTGCTATGGAACACCAAACATGGCAATGTTTGTTGTTTCCGATCTTATTTTAGTTTCCTAATTGATCATAGCAAGTAGGTGGTGTCTTGTTTTATTCATTTTCTTTTACTTTTCTTGGTCGTGAGCTTAATCTGTTGCATACGCTTGCATGTCAAGCTAAGTTTTAGTGTGATGTTTTAGATTCTAGCCCCCCACCTTAATTGCTCAAAGCATCGGTCGGTTTCAGTTCAAAACTAAAAAAAATGAACTTAATTCTTAATCAATATTTACCAAACGAACTGAACCAAACCGCCTTATATGGAAAACCAAAATAACCATACTGAGTAAACCGACGTCTTCTTGTCGGGTTTTAAGAACCGATTAGAATTTGAGTGTGCATACCTCAATGACGTCCAACAGCTCCCTCTGACTAGAGTTCTGAGACACACTATTTCCCATGCTAACCTTCGTAATGGCAAGCCCAATCTCAGCCCTCCATAACCACCCCTTGAATTTTGAACCTCGCCTCCCTAGGCTGGTCCTGACTTAGATTTGAACTTGGACAAACTAGATGACAGTGTTCTTTGGAGCAGTGGTGGATTGGTAGACGATGCTCTCCTTTCAAAGACTCAACTAAAAAATGTTTGAAAATAAATGGTCCCCTTAATAGATGTGTGGAATGGAGTTAGGGCTGCAACTAAATGTAAGAAAGAAAAATGATGGTCGTTTGGAAAGATTTCAAAATTGAGCTCGGCTAACAAATTTTTAAATAACATAGGAAGTATATTAAGTTTGGGTTTAATTTGTAACTGTGTACGACATATGTGAGCTTATATTTCGGTTTTTCAGTCGGTTCGGGATTTCAAAGCCTATAACCGATAACCAATCGAATTAACAAAATTAACCAACCATTTTAACCGGTTGGTTCGATTAAAATGCTCCCCCCTATTTTTCATTTGATTGTAAATTAATAAAAGTTTTGTTTGCCTTAAAAAAAACTTGTACTATATATAAAGTTCTGCTACTAAGATTAATCGGGCACATCCTAGAATTTCGTTGGTCGATGGGCTCATTGAGGTACTATACAATATCCAAGTGTAGGCATTTATTAGAGTTTCTCTCTCGGTCCAAGAGGTGATAAATTGTGTGAAGAAAAAACAAAACCAGAAAAATAAGACGCCCGAGACTATTGGTAGTCTGGTAGATTAGAGAAGGCAGTAAAATGGATTTAAAAAAACATGCTAAGCAGGGAAAGAAATTATCCACACATTGGGACCCCTCGAAACTGTGAAGACAAAAGAGAGGTATGAAATACAAAGGCTAATAGTATGATGCCTCAATCTCCTTATCATTTACCAACTGATCAAATAATATCCAAAAAGTACAACCAACTTCATTCAATAATTACAGCCCTAGAACGTAAATTAAAGATTTAAATATGTGTATATCTGTTATAGCATAGGTTATATGATTCAAGAAAAGATTTAAATATTTGTATAGGTCTAAATGTCTAATGAGTGGTCTCATAACCTATTCCTTTTAACCTTATGTACTAATTTTTATTCACCAACTTCAAAAATAGATTATAAGAGCAAAGACAACTCAACTAAGCAATAAACAAATTTTTTTATCTTGTGATTTACATAACTTTAGATCAAGAATTTAGCAGTAGCTTGCTTCCTCTTTAAGCTCTCTGTGATGCATTTTTCCATTCCTTGCTTTTTAAATGTAATAACAGGGAGCAACCCAAGTAGCTAGAGTAGCATCTCTCTTACATCTTGGTATAAGTATGGTCCGCCTCCTTTCCTTTAAAGTTTCTCCTTTAACATTAACCCTCAACCAATCAAATAGGGTTGTATAGCTAAATCTATCTAGAAAAACACAATTAAGGAAGAGATGTGTTTGATCCTCATCAACACTATTGCACAAAGAAGATTTCATATCAATGTGAAGAAACCTTTTGAGTCTCTCATTGGTTTGGAGGCTTTTCTTCACAATCATTCACATAATAAATTGAAATTTAGGTGGTATCATTTTGCACCAGACCCACTTAACCCAAGGGGTATTCTATATTACCCACGTACCATCTATAATATCTTTGTATGATGTATTCTTCATTTCTTGGCATACTGGAGAAATCTTCTCTTACTTGATCATGTTCCTCCTATAAAAACAATAGTTTGGCTTAGAAATATAATCCCAAAAAGTTGTGCCTCTGAAATGTCTGTTGTGTATCTATTAAACCCACATGATGTCTTTTTTCTTTTCTATACTTACAATTAAGATTCATGATGGAGGCCTTATTCCAACCAGTCATATTATGTAGCCTTAGACCTCCAAAATGTTTTCAGGAGACAAACATCCTCCCATTAGATTAGTGGAATCTTTTTGTAACCAGAGGTGGCACTCAGGCACTCCATAGATAGTTCATGCAGATAGCTTGAACTCTTTTTATTTAGAGATTTATAATTCTAAAAGCGTTGATCAATTTAATCGTCCCTATGTAGGAAAGGTGTTTAGAGCTCTAGGTTGAGATCTTGGTTGTCAATTTTTCAACTAGTCCTTCATAATCTTTTGTACTTAACCTGGAAGCTATTATCGACCCTCCGAGGTAAGTAGAAGGAAGTTCTCCTTAAGCCATCTTGGTCTTATCCAAAATAGAATCCTTCAATTATACAATACAGCCTTCAAAGTCCCTTAAAGTACCCCAAATATTCTAAGACTATCTAGTCTGTCTTTAAATCTTTAGATCATATTAAAAATAAGCCTCAAGTAGACTTTGAAAGTTGTAAATTGTAATGTATAACTGAAAGATTCTATTTTGGATAGGACCAAGACCACTTAGGGAGAACTTCCTTCTACTTACCTGGGACGGCCGATAACAGCTTCAAGGTAAAGTACAAAAGATTGTGAAGGACTAGTTGAAAAATTGACAACCAAGATCTCAACCTGGAGCTCTAAACACCTTTTCTACATAGAAACAATTAAATTGATCAACGTTTTTTTGTTGGGAATTATAAATCTCTGAATAAAAAGAGTTTAAGCTATATGCATGAACTATCTCTGGGGTGCGTGAGTGCCACCTCTGGTTACAAAAGGATTTCACTAATCCAATAGGAGGATGTTTGTCTGCCAAAAACATTTTGGAGGTCTAAGACTGCATAATATGATGGGTTGGAATAAGGCCTCCATCATGAATCTTAATTGAAGTATAGAAAAGAAAAAAGACATCATGTGGGTTTAATGGATACACAACAGGCATTTCAGAGGCACAACTTTTTGGGATTATATTTCTAAGCCTAACAATTATTTCTACTGGAGGAACATGATCAAAGTAAGAGAAGATTTCTCCAGTATGCCAAGAAATGAAGTATACATCATATAATGAGGTTAAGTGGGTCTGGTGCAAAATGATACCACCTAAATTTCAATTTATTATGTGAATGATCGTGAAGAAAAGCCTCCAAACCAATGTGAGACTTAAAAGGTTTCTTCACATTGATATGAAATCTTCTTTGTGCAACAATTTTAATGAGAATCAAACATCTCTTTCTTAATTGTGTTTTGCTAGATAGGTCTAGCTATAACACCGTATTTGATTGGTTGAGGGTTAATGTTAAAGGATACTCTAAAGGAAATGGGACAGAGCATACAGAGTGTTATACCAAGATGTAAGAGAGATGTTACTCTAGCTACTTGGGTTGCTCCCTGTTATTACATTTAAAAAGCAAAGAATGGAAAGTTGCATCACACGGAGCTTAAGATGAGGCTATATGTACTGCTAAATTCCCGATCTAAAGTTAAGTAAATCACAAGATAAAAACAATGTTTATTGCTTAATTGAGTGGTCTTTGTTCTTGTAATCTATTTTTGAAGTTGGTGAATAAAAGTTAGTACATAAGGTTAAAAGAAATAGGTTATGAGACCACTCGTTAGACCTATACAAATATTTAAATCTTTTCTTGAATCATATTGCCTATGCTATAGCAGATATTTAATTTAAATCGTTAGTTTATGTTCTAGGGCTGTAATTATTGAATGAAGTTGGTTGTAATTATTGTATTATTTGATTAGTTGGTAAATGATAAGGAGGTTTGAGGCATCATACTATTAGCCTTTCTCTTTTGTACGTGTCTTTTGTCTTCACAGTTTCGGGGGGTCCCAATGTATGGGCAATTACTTTCCCTGCTTAGCATGTTTTTTTAAATCCATTTTACTGTCTTCTCTAGTCTACCAATAGTCTTGGGCGTTTTATTCTTTTGGTTTTGTTTTTTTGTTCACACAATTTATCAGCTCTTGGACGGGGTGAGAAACTCTATTAAATGCATCCACTTGGATATTATAGAGTACCTCAATGAGGCCTGCGATACAGTGAGCCCGCAAATTTCTAGGCGATTAATAATTAGTTTAGTAGCAGAATTGTACATAAAGTACGAGCTTTTTTTTGAATGCAAAAAGAACTTTTATTAATTAACAAACGAATGAGTTTAACCAAACTAACTAGGTAAAATGGTCGGTTAATTTGGTTAATTCGGTTGGTTATCGGTTATAGGCTTTGAAAACCCGAACCGACTGAAAAATCGAAATATAAGCCCATAAATTTATCATACACAGTTACAAATTAAAACCTAACTTAATATACTTCCTATGTCATTTAAAAGTTTATTAGCCCAACTGAATTTTAAAATCTTTCCAAATGACCAACATTTTTCTTTCATACATTTAGTTGCAGCCCTATCTCCATTCCACACATCCATCAAGATGACCATTTATTTTCTAACATTTTTTAGTCGAGTCTTTGAATGGAGAGCATCATCCACCAATCCACCACCGCTCCATTGAAGAACACTCTCATCTAGTTTTGTTCAAGTTCAGATCCAAATTAGGACCAGCCTAGGGAGGCGATGTTCAAAATTCAAGGAGTGGTTATAGAGGGCTGAGATTGGGTTGGGCACTACGGAGGTTAGCATTGGAAGCAGTGTGTGTTAGAACTAGTTGGAAGGAGCTAGAGGTGAGCAATCGGGTCTAGGAACCAGAAGTTGGAACCGAATTACTAGGTTCGGTCTGGGTTAGGGTCGGGTCCTCTTTTCAAAGATTTTAAACGGTCCAGGTCAATTCGGTCCTTATACATTTTAGGGTCGGTGTGATTCCCCATTTTGAAATTGTATTGGACTCAGACGGGATCATTTTTAAATTTTAAATTTATTTTTAGTAAATATACGGATATATGGATATATACCCGCCTAAGCCCTTCAATCTTTCGGTCCTTCCAATCACGGACAGAAAAGTGAGCAAGTCTTTCGTAGTCAGAGAGTTGGAACCCATGAAGATTGTGAATTTTTGTTCTTTTTGGAACACATTAATACTATGACATTATAAGTCCAAAATGTAGTTGGCTTCTTTTTTTGTTGGTGTTGTTGGATGATCATGTGGTGTATACTTTACTCTCATTGTTTTATTTTCATTTACGCCTTTTTTTATGTTGGATGACTTAAATTAATTTATTATCCCTTTATTTTTTTAAATATTAGTATCATGATAAGTTCGGATCCATTGACCCATGGAGTCGACCCGTTTCAAACAAGCAGGGTTAGGTCTTGTTTAAATTTTAAAATTTTGAAACCTGTTCTAGCCCGGACCATATTTTAATAAAAACAAGCCGAGTCCAGTTTTTAAAAATCTCGGCTCGGACCGGCCTGTGCCCACCCCTAGAAGGAGCTGTTGGACGCCATTGAAGTATGCAGGCTCAATTTCTAATCGGTTCTGAAAACCTGACCGAAGGACGTTGGTTTACTCGGTTTTGGTTATTTCAGTTTTCCATATAAGGCGGTTCGATTCGGTTAGTAAATATTGTTTAAGAATTAAGTTTATTTTTTTCAGTTTTGAACTGAAACTTACCGATGCTTTGAGCAAGAAAGTTTGAGGGGGGGGGGGGGGGNTGTGCAAGCGTGTGCAAGAGATTAACCTCACGACCAAGAAAAATAAAAGAAACTGAATAAAACTAGACACCACCTGCTTACTATCATCAATTAGGAAACTAAAATAAGATCAGAAACAACAAACATCACCATATTTGGTGTTGCATAGCACAAACTTTTAATCTTACAATCAGTTTTGAGTGAAAACAATATGAGCAAAAAATATGGTTGGTTTAGAAATTGATGTAAGGGTAGATTTCCTCATAACACACATAGACAACACCCTTGACCCTCTCCCCCATTAAGAACATACTCCCTCCGTTTCTCAAAAGAGTTCCTCTTTTGACTTTAGGGGAAAATAAGGAAGTGTTAAATTGTAGTTGACTTTCCAATTTTGCCCTTGATGTGATGAGTAAAAGTAAGATGTGATAATTTAGTTGTTAGTGGAAAAGTATGATGTGATAGGTAGGGTATGAAAAGTAGGGGTAAAAGTGGTTTTTTAATAGAAAAGGGAAGTGTTTTAAGAAAAACAAAAAAAAATGAAAGAGGAAGAGTTTTAAGAAACGGAGGTAGTATTTTCCTTACTTTGATGTTCCAAAAAATTCACATATACTTTTTCTTTTAAATGTAAAAAATATGTGATCTTCAAATTTTTTTCCTTTAAATAGATTCTCCTCACACACCTTTACGTTTCAAAACATTTCTTTTGTTGTGTAAACACAAACAAAAAAATCTTTATAGGATGGAAAGATTATAAAAAATTACATAAAGGACCATGGGTCCCGAGATCCTGGGGGTTTCATACTTGGTGTGCCCAAGTGTGCATGCATTGATTTATTAATGTTCATGTTTTGGGTATGTGAAGGAAAAAAACAATTCAAAAATTCTTTAACACTAATTATAAAATTCTTTAAAACAGTAATGTCTTGTTTTTTCCACTCTCCTTGTAAAAAAAGTGACAGAAACTGAGTATTCTATCATGTACTTAAGTTTGAACTTATTCAATAACCAATAAGCATTGTTAAAAAAACCAATAAGCATGAAATTGATGATCGTTTTATATGTTAAAAACTTTTCCAAAGTCGTGAGCATTTACCTCCCTTTGCTGGCTGCTGCTACCCTTGGGTAATTAAACCAGAAAAGATGTCCTGAGTATTAAAAGTGAGTGAAAAAGCTGCCAAATACTACATATGTGCTCCTAAAATAGCACGAAAAAACAATTCCTAGTACAAATTCATACAAGACTATGCTCCTATTAAACTCAAGACCAGAATCAGGGGACGAAGCAGCTTATATAAAAAATATAACCAAATAACTAAACTTAGGAATGTAAGAAAGAAACATGGAAGTACAATGGATAAAATTTTCAACAAAAAGGGAATACATTAGTCATTACTGACCTCAGATTTACGAAATTTAAAGGAATATGGTACACCCCGAGTATGAGACAGAATCACTCTTCCATCATATTTTACCAAATATAAATGGCAGAAAGCATGCAAAGCATAGATGCTCAAAGCATAAACACGGTCTGACACAAATGATAAGGTCCAACAAAATCAAGCATGTGTCTTTACCTGGCTTTCACTTCATATGGCTCCCTAGGTGATTCCCAACTCTTCCCTTCTTCCAGAACCTGCCTCAAAAAATGAAAATAAAAGTTAACTAAACTACTAAGTTATAAGCATTCGACAAAGTTACTCCACAACCGTACCTTAACCCCCACCCACCACCCAAAAAAGGCAAATAAAAAACACCACTAATGGTAAACAACTAATAGCCACACTGACAATGAGGAGGTAAATTCATGCATATGATTTCAATTTCAGATTCTGTATTCCCCTTTTTGTTGATGAAAAACACCATTATTTGGAGGTCTTGGTGTATTAAGTTGTTTTCACGAACAACTTGAAGGGCCGATGGTGTGTCATGGATGTGAAAATCAAATTATCATGTCCAAAATCAAGAAAATATCCAAAGAGAAATAAACTTTAAAAAAATCCAAATTACCTAGCTGCTGCATAAAATGTTCTGCAGTTGGTTCTGGAATTCTTCCGTTGCGTTATTCGATGTACATAGAAAGATCACCCCCTCGCCAGTACACCAACACTATATAAACCTTTCCTGAATCCTATATCGCAGTGCATGTCAGATTAATGAAAACATAATTAACTCATAGCAATAAATGTTGTTTGTACCGATGAACTAAAACTGAAGGACTTCACAATCATTTATCTTAAACAGACATATGAGATCCGATGGATGATTTTGTGACAGTGTTTATTAATTATCAGTGAAAGGAGCAGAACTAAAAAATCTTGATTTAAAACCACAACTATGTCATTTGTTTCCCATAAAGTCTTTTCTTTTGGACTTACTTTCAATTCAGAAACTTCAGTTTCATGCTGTTATTTACCAATTACAACTAACTTTCAAATCGCTTCAATTGTATTTGGTAAGTTTTAGTTGGAAAGAACATAGTGTTAAGTAGTCTCTGGTACAAAGCAAAGTAGAGCAGGAACATCTAAGGGAAGGAAATTCACTTCAACTCCAGATATTCTCAAATTTCAACTGAAGGTAAGTCATTTGCCTGCTGCCAAGAGCTCTTTCTGCTTGATCAATAAACCGAGCAACCAAAATTGCATATACCCTTATTCACAGGTTTGCGTGACAAACAAATGATTTTGTTCCGAAACCCCATTAAAATGCAGTCTTTGGGGGAGTGAGAAACGTAATCGATTGGGGGAAAAGATCATCAAACGGACCTTAGGTCCTTGAATTTACTTGTGTGGGTCGGCGAGTTACTTCGTAATTGTCTATTAGAAGAAAATTTCTAATATAAGTCTGGTTGTGAAAAGTTTTTGGGTATACGTAGAACAAATTTGATTTCTAAGTACTTCATGTATCCACCAAACGTGCGCAATTTACTCACCCTCCACCCTCCTGTTTACATACTGGATAAGAATTTTTAGGCAGTGTTGTATGCCTTTTGGAAAATATGATACACAGAGGTAATGGTGCAGTTAACAATCTCCAGTTAACTTAGTATCCTGAGAAGGAAATCTCTGTCACCCTTTATTTCAGTAGTTATTATTCAGATTTCACAAAGAGGTAATGGTGCAAAGTGTGTTTTACAGTATTTGGCTCTGTGTGTCCATTTCAATCATAAGATTTTGTTGTTCTATGATGCACGAAGTACTATTGTCCAATGCTATGTTGCTTAATCACACTTTATTTGTGTAATACTCCTGATAGTAGGTTGTGTTCTTTTAACTGACATGGGAGCATATAGGGTTTATTGTCAACTGTCTTATACATTCAACCAACCGCCGCTGATATATAATAATATAGTATCCACTTTGATCATTCAACCAGGAAAAATAATAAAAAACATGCTTATAATAAGGAATGACAGCATCAACTTCTCAAACCTCTTAACAAAAACTGAGAACAGACGCAGTTCAGGGGGCGGGGAGGACTAAAACGAACAAATTATTAAAGCTTATAAAGTCTTTTTGGGCTAGTTACCCTTATTTCTAGTTTTAAATACTAAAATGTAATATAGCAGCATATCATTGCATGAAAGGTATTGCATCTTATTCTTCGTGTGATTCTTCATGGCCTCAAGCATTCTCCTCACTGGGGAAAACTAAATTGTATAATTAAGACGGGTGTAAAGATGGTTGAATGTATTAAGTCAATGGATTGAAGTGGTCAAACCTTAAATGTCTTCTTTTACTTGGACCATCATCTGTTGTCTCCAGCAGCACCGTTGGAACATTTATCTGTGTTTTTATAGGGTAGATTCGAAGTGATTAAGAATAGCAAAAAAACAATGAAAAGACATATTCTATAAACTAATAATTTTCAAAACCTCTTCATTCCTTGTTGGTTCCAAAAATGATTCCTCCAAAACTTTATTCGCTGTGAAACTCTGACTATAAGCAGTCCTGTTGTAGTCAGTAAGCTTGACACGGAAAACAAACCGTTGGCCGATAAGGTTTGCAATAATAGCAGGTACTTCGCCTACAGAAGCTTCACTCTGAAATAGTTGATGAGTAGAATTTTAAAATGTTTTGCATGCGAGATACGACCTATGAGGTGAAACACTTAAGAAGTATTTCCAAATCTTAATACCTCCTCCAGTTTCTCTTGCATATCATATATGCTAATGGCAGATTGTCCTATCATCTTCTCAGCGACGTCATCAAAGACAATGAACTTCGTAGAATCTGTGGCATCCTGGACTCCAAACTCAATTCGAAATCTGCAAATGCACACTATTTTTTAGTTCATGCATAAGGAAATTGCTTTCCAAATCTGCAAATGCACATTATTGTGTTTGGAATTTGAAGGCAGGCTGTGTGTATCACCTGATTGACAGTGCTAACATGTGCTGATTCTATCATGAGAAAGGCATAAATTTTACCTTGGAATGGCATCATTCACGGTCTTATTACACTTCTTGCACCAAAAACTTTGACCGTACGCCTTAATCATTCCCTTGCAGCCACATGAGTTGTAGTACCATCCATTATTGTTGTGGATGTCATATATTGTAGCAACACAAAATAGTAGTGTGCCCTGTACATGTGTAAGTTAAAGATTTTCCAAGTCAGACACAAAATTAGTAGTTCATGTATGCAAAGGAATGAGACAGACTTAATGGCATTTAATTACATCTTTAAAGTTTGTCTTTGTTATTTCTAAAATCTCGCCAATGGTTTTCAGATTGCTTAAAACAGCATGTGTATCGAGCTCTTGTTTCTCGATGATAAGCGGCTGAATTATATGTCCCCTTGGCGAAGAACTGCAACGGTTATTCACACTTGTAAACATTATGAAATATCCTTTGTAATATGAGATGGTTGGAAAATATAAACCCTTAATACCTGCTCTTGTTTTTTAAGGCAACAACCTCATCAATGTCAGGGTCTAAATAAATCTTGGTAGCTGTGGTTGATGACAAAACAGCATTGTCTGCAATCAAAAAAACATTTAAACTGCAGCAACCAAGTGCATAGGTGTCATATGTATAAGCCCAAACAAAAAACCCTTACTCATGTATTTCTTGACCAAGGTTGACGTGAAAACTCCAACAATGATTCTATCCTCCACCAATGATTTTTGTTTCATGTAGTTATCAACACTCCCACCCCATAGTGTAACCCGGACCTTTACATCTCTGAAATTCAGAATCCCATTTATTAGCTAACCATTTCAGAGTTTTTATTTGGTAAATAGTTCAATTATTAGCTTTAAAATCACATATACATAGAAAATGAAAACTATTAACCTCAGATCATGTAATTCAAGAATCAAAGAAGGAACACTGTTTCCACGGCTATTCTTATTTGTGACCTCCCCCTCGCAACATACTACGCCCACCACATCTGTAATATGTACTACACATCAGAATTGAAATCCAATGCTAAACTCACTATTCATAGAAGCTGTAAAAGAGCTGAACTCGCCAGTTAAAATGTATACTTCCCCCAGAGCTGATGTTGGTATTCCCAGGAAGTCTTCCGAAAGAGATCTAACCACTGTACTCGGACAAAATTGAATCATGAGCTTGTTGTCACCAACAACACGATACTGGGCCTTATTGGGAACAACACTGAAAATCTTAACATAGTAAACACTTCCTTCAGCAATACGGTTTTGGAACAAATGCGCAAAATTCCCCTTAATGGACGCATGGATATATGAGCCCTAAAACATATAAGATGTGACTTAATACACACAACAGTAATAAGAAATTAAATTAACAAAACACAGACACTATAACATTTAACATTGTGAATAACCTCCTTATCAATGAGCACCATATCTGTACTCATTAGGTCTTTTGTATCCTTAAAGCTGTAAACATCCCACAGGCGCGACACCCGAGCTGTAATCGCACAATTCTTTGATTCCAGCCTCAATTTATCAATAGGGATGCATTCTTCTAGCATCTTTCGCAGTGAAGATACCGTGGCTCTAAAAATAAGTAAAACACAACAAACACCCAGTACGTCCATTTCAATTGTTCAATAAGGCGCGCGCGCGCGCGTGTGTATATATATATATATATATATATATATATTCGGAAACACACACACACATCCAAACATAGAGAAGGTGAATCATTTGGAATAAAGTAGGTGTAATAAACGCTGGAATAAAGCACCAGTCATAAACGCACCTAGGGTTACAGAGAAAAACATTAACTGCCCATAGCAGGCCGCCTCCGACGTCTCACCTGCGAAAACGCATGAAATTGAAGGAGTGCTGGAAGAAGAAAGACGCCAATGAAGTCGCGACATTCTTTGAAGCGCCAAGGAAGTTACAGATTACAGATCTATTACCCTTCCGGTCACGTGGCAGGTGAGTGAGCAAATTTTAATCCATCTCAGCAGCCTAGTCAGTGAACACGTGTCAACCCCACAACTAAAAAACCCTACTTTATATATATATACTAGTATTTTGACCCGTGCGATGCACGGGGTCGAACGAAACTGTTGTCGATTTTGAAATTTTTCAATGAAATATTTATTCCAAAATTAAGTAAATATATTTCTGTCACAAATTTTAATCAATGGAAAACAATGACAAAGTAGAATATAATATTTGAGAAATTGAAAGTGTACTCGAAAAAATCTTTTTTAATTCCAAATTTTTTGAAAGACTTTAGTGTACACAGCATTTTTTGTATCGTTGTAAGCGTTTTTATTTTCATCTAGAACCAATATTTTTAATCATGTCTTTTTCTTTACTCGTGAAACAGTAACATAAAGCTAACCATGAGTAAATCCCGAATTGGTTAAAAATAATATAGCAAAGGACAATGTTTGACATTGACTTTTGTTTATAGTCATAGCAAAACATAAGACTATTATATTGAGAATTCTATCAGATGATACCAAATTTTATTCAGGGTATGTAAACCTTTTTCTCCAACGCGATTTCTCGAAACATCAATTACATTGATAATGTTCTTTCACATCTCTTTAATGATTAATCTTTTACCAATACACAATCCATATATTTGGTCAATGTTCTTCAATAACATAAT